ACAATTCGGGTTCAGATCGGAACACAGTACAACCGTCCAACTGATCAATCTTATTGATACAGTCACCAATAACCTTAATATAAGACATAAAACAGCAGCAACTTTTCTTGACATCCAAAAAGCCTTCGATAAAGTCTGGCACGAAGGACTTATCTACAAACTACTAGCAATGAATGTGCCCCATCAACTAGTCAACATCCTAAGATCGTTCCTCCAAGACCGAACATTCCAAATAAAAATTGGCGACACCTTATCAGCCTCCAGAAAAATAAATGCAGGCGTCCCTCAGGGGTCCTGCCTCTCACCACATTTATTTTCTGTATACATAAATGACATGCCAAAAGACAGCGAAGCAAACATTGCGCTATTCGCAGATGACACAGTGTTCTACGCTTCCGGAGCAACAAACAACGCAGCGATAAGAAGGGTACAAAAACAAATTAACCTTGCCGTTCCTTGGTTCAAGGAATGGAAAATAACTTTAAATCCCACGAAAACAAAGGCAATAATTTTTTACAACCAATCTATGTACCAAGCACCATCATTAAATTTCGAGAACACACACTTAAGCTGGTCCAAAACAGTAAAATACCTTGGAGTGACCATCGACTCAAAACTTACCTTTACGGCTCACACAAAAACTGCGCTACATAAAGCATCCGGAGCAAGATATACTCTGTTTCCACTACTCAATGAGTTCAGCCCACTTCCTCTAAAAACCAAATTATATTTATATAACGCGTATATTAAACCAATATTACTTTATGCCACCCCCGCGTGGGCACAAAATATAACAAAAACAAGCTGGACTAAGCTGGAGGCGTTCCAGTCAAAAACACTGAGGATGATAACAGGTAGCGACTGGTTCATATCCAACCATGCAATAAGAATGTCATTGAACATGCCATCAATAGATGACACTATAAAAAGTGAGAGAACTAAAATAAAACAAAAAATAGGACACTCAAACTTCGAACACATTAACGAAATAGTAAACAGAAAAAGCCATAAAGAACGATTCAAGAGAAGACCACTGACCTAACCAATATTTAAAAAAAAAAAAAAAAAAAAACTCCAATAAACTCCAATAAACAATCTATAAAACACTTCATACTCTCTGGAAGAAGCGGAAAAGCTTGAAACAGAGTAGGTCTATATAAAGCAAAGCAAGCATTGAGGAATCTTACAAAAGTCCCTCATCTCCCCCCTAAAAAAATAAGACCCTGTTAATTTCTTAACAGAGCCAATAACCAGCATCAGTTTATAACAACCAATCACAGCGCAGAACGAACACAAAACAACTTGTCATTGGCTTTTGGAGGAATTCCAATCATCTCCGTACATCAAACGAGCACCGCAAGTACGGAAAAGAATAGGGCAGATCATGACGAAGACGTCAGTACCTTCCCCGTGGCTGTAACCAAAAAAATGACTGAGATACCGCCAAATCCGTCCCGATAGTAAACACACCAAAGAACTGAATATTCGATACATTTACTAGTCGGTACGGTTTACTGCATGTGGTTAGAAATTTTTACTCTCCAGGCCATCAAAATCCCCCATCGGAAGAATATGTTACGCTCAAATTGTCATGATCCCAAAACCCATGAAGAATCACCAAATGCCAGACAATCATAGGCCTATATCACTCCTCAACACCATGTCTAAAATATTTGAAAGAATAATTCTACGTAAGCTTAACATCCACGTAAAAACTAGATGTGAACAACACGCTTTCCGTACTGGCCACTCTACGATCACACAGCTTATCACATTGACCGACGACCTGAACCAAAGATCTCAGAAGGGGGAAAAAACTGTAGCCGTCTTCCTAGACGTGGCGAAAGCTTTTGACCGCGTGTGGCACGAACGACTCATCCACAAGTTAACACTCTCAAACGTTCCTCACTCACTTATAGTACTCATTGAATCCTTTCTTAAAGGCCGTACTTTCAAAATCAAAATATCTGATCACCTATCTACATCTCGTAACATAGAAGCGGGTGTCCCTCAGGGGTCATGTCTATCACCGCTCTTATACTCAGTCTACATAAACGATTTCCCGACCATAGGACCAGTCACACTGGCCCTCTTTGCGGACGATACCCTTCTCTACACGAGCAACCATAACTACAAATATGCAGTATACAAGCTTCAAAGACAACTGGACATCACGAACGACTGGCTCACAAAATGGAGGATCCAATTAAACGTATCCAAAACGGTAGCAGTGATATTTGGGCCTCGATCCCAAAAACAAACCATGAAGTTAAAATTACAAAACCAACATCTCGAATGGAGCAATCACGCAAAATATCTTGGAGTCACCTTCAACCACGATCTAAGCTTTGACAAGCATATCCAAAATACCATCCGAAAGGCTCGCGGTGCCCGGGCTGCACTACATCCGATCCTAAACCGAAACAGCACTGTACCACTGGCTAACAAACTGACAATATACAAAATATACCTTAAGCCCATTATTTTATATGCAGCTCCCGTTTGGAGAAACAGAATTCGCCAATCATCTTGGAAACAGATTGAGATCTTCCAGTCCGTAGCACTACGTACCATGACCGGCGCCCACTACCTGGTCTCAAATCTAAACTTACGGAACTCAATGTCCATCGAAACCCTCCAAGACGAAGCACTCCACCTATCAAAAAACCTTGCTCATACACTTTCAAGGAGCAAATATCCACACTTATCATGTCTAGTCCCATGAACAGACCAAAACCTATCAATTAAATTACCTCATTCAGAGAGAAAAGGCTTAGCCTGGTGCTCTTAAACAGGCCAAAGGCCGTCCCACCAAAGCAAATTGCAAATTATGTTACGCCGAAAGAAGTATCTGGCATAATAAAAGGACTCCCTGCAGCAAAAGCACCAGGCGAGGATGGCATTACCAACAAGGCATTGAAACACCTTCCAAAAATTGCAATTATCCTCCTAGCGAACATCTACACGTCATGCCTCAGACTCTCTTACTTCCCTGACCAGTGGAAAAAGGCTCAAATTGTCATGATCCCAAAACCCATGAAAAATCACCAAATGCCAGACAATCATAGTCCTATATCACTCCTCAACACCATGTCTAAAATATTTGAAAGAATAATTCTACGTAAGCTTAACATCCACGTAAAAACTAGATGTGAACAACACGCTTTCCGTACTGGCCACTCTACGATCACACAGCTTATCACACTGACCGACGACCTGAACCAAAGATCTCAGAAGGGGGAAAAAACTGTAGCCGTCTTCCTAGACGTGGCGAAAGCTTTTGACCGCGTGTGGCACGAAGGACTCATCCACAAGTTAACACTCTCAAACGTTCCTCACTCACTTATAGTACTCATTGAATCCTTTCTTAAAGGCCGTACTTTCAAAATCAAAATATCTGATCACCTATCTACATCTCGTGACATGGAAGCGGGTGTCCCTCAGGGGCTTTGCTTTGCTTTGCTTTGGGAGGGGTGGCTATGCCGTTTACTATTCCAGGCTTGTGCCTCTACTAGTGGATGGATTTTGGGGTTGATTGGTAGGTTCAGTTATGTAAGTCAGTCCAATTTAATGGGTATGGTTTGAGTAAACGTTTGGTGGTTGGAGGGGAGTGGGTTTTACCTAAGAGGCGGATATGATCGTATTCGGAAAAAGAGTTATTGTAGAACATTGTTTTTGATTGAGAGCAAATGGAATTTTGGATAGATTTGAAGTTGGCTGATTTTAAAAGGACCGAGTTTCTAACGATAGTGGGCATACCGGTTATCGTGCGTATGCCGATGTTTTGGACGGATTCAATACGTCTCCAATGGGAGGGGCCGATAAAGGGTGCCCAGGAAGAGCCAGCATATGTAAGTATAGGGGTCACGTAGAGTTTAAGTATGTTAAGTTTTGTTTTCAGCGGAACGGGACTAGTACGGTTAAGTAAGGGGTAAAGCATACCACGGACGCGGGTAGCTTTTTTGGTTACGTCTTGAATGTGTTGGTTGAATGTAAGTTTACGTCCAATCGTGACGCCTAAGTATTTGGCCTGTTTTGACCAGTTAACGGGTTGGTTATCGATGGTTAGAGGTGGAATGTGGGTTGTATTAGAACGCCCGAAGAGGATCCCTCAGGGGTCATGTCTATCACCGCTCTTATACTCAGTCTACATAAACGATTTCCCGACCATACGACCAGTCACACTGGCCCTCTTTGCGGACGATACCCTTCTCTACACGAGCAACCATAACTACAAATATGCAGTATACAAGCTTCAAAGACAACTGGACATCACGAACGACTGGCTCACAAAATGGAGAATCCAATTAAACGTATCCAAAACGGTAGCAGTGATATTTGGGCCTCGATCCCAAAAACAAACCATGAAGTTAAAATTACAAAACCAACATCTCGAATGGAGCAATCACGCAAAATATCTTGGAGTCACCTTCAACCACGATCTAAGCTTTGACAAGCATATCCAAAATACCATCCGAAAGGCTCGCGGTGCCCGGGCTGCACTACATCCGATCCTAAACCGAAACAGCACTGTTCCACTGGCTAACAAACTGACAATATACAAAATATACCTTAAGCCCATTATTATATGCAGCTCCCGTTTGGAGAAACAGAATTCGCCAATCATCTTGGAAACAGATTGAGATCTTCCAGTCCGTAGCACTACGTACCATGACCGGCGCCCACTACCTGGTCTCAAACCTAAACTTACGGAACTCAATGTCCATCGAAACCCTCCAAGACGAAGCACTCCACCTATCAAAAAACCTTGCTCATACACTTTCAAAGAGCAAATATGCACACTTATTATGTCTAGTCCCATGAACAGACCAAAACCTATCAATTAAATTACCTTATTCAGAGAGAAAAGGCTTAGCCTGGTGCTCTTAAACAGGCCAAAGGCCGTCCCACCAAAGCAAATTGCAAAATTCCAGGCCATCATGTCTCCGGTAAAAACAAAAATGAATTTTTACCTGGACTCAAACTATATAGTGTTTAACATGGTGGCCGGGGCAGACCCCTTTGCTACGGGGTCGGTCCCCGTTGTTCCGGCTCCAGTCGCCGTCGTTCCAGCTCCAGTCGCTGTAACTACGGCTCCCGTCGCAGTTACTACGGCTCCCGTCGCGGTTACTACAGTTTCCGCCGTCGGTACTGCGGTTACAGTCGCTGCTACTACAGTTCCCGCCGTCGGTACTGCGGTTACAGTCACTGCTACTACAGTTCCCGCCGTCGGTACTGCGGTTACAGTCGCTGCTACTACAGCTCCAGTCGCCGGTACTCCAGCTCCAGTCGCCGCGTCATCAGGAGAGTGTCCCGCCGTGGAGAAGTTGACGGTCTCTAAAGTTATGAATGAGTCGCAACCGACGATTGCCGCTATGGTTCTCTCGGCCATCAGAGAGCTGAGTGGGAAGAATGGTTCGTCGTTGCAAGCCATCAAGAAATACTTGGCCGTCAACTACAAAATCGACTCCACTAAGTTGGCACCTTTCATTGGGAGGTTTTTGAGACGCGCCGTCGCCAAACGTACCCTCGTCCGGACTACGGGATCCGGCGCTTTGGGACGTTTCAAGTTGCCCGATATCAAGCAGGAAATGGTGAAGGCCGTCGTGGCGAAAAAGAAGAAGAAACGGGTCAAAACTGCCAGAAAGAAGTAATAATAATAGTACTTCCCTTAATTACATATTATTAAAAAGGTCCTTTTCAGGACCACCACTTATCAGCTAAAAAACTCCGATCGTCAACAGCACACGTTCATCCATTCAACCCTCCTCCGCCACGAAAATCGACGTCCTAGAAAACCTTGTTAGTTTGCCAAATACTTCATACATATATTAAAAATTAAAAGCAGACTTTCGGAAGTATGTGTAATTTACCACCGATTATTGGTCAAAAACGTACGAAAAATCCGTGACATGCGTTCCCTACAGTTGAAATTTTGACATTTATCGCGTCATTTAAAATTGAATTATTATTATGTACCTAGTCAAAAATTTATAAAATTGTATAGCTAAGAATTGAAAATTTAAAACAAGATTCCACGTAAATATATATAAATTACTTAATAACACGGTAATCGTAAAAATATATTTATCATATGTATGGATACAAATAAAATGCTGCTATGCCTATATAATGGCCATCAGATCAGTAGATCACTGATCATTAAATTGATCACCGATTTAAAGCTATAGGTACGTGTTGTGATTTAAATATTTCATAGTACCTATGTATTCGTTTTAAATTTTAAGTGTTATTTAATATCACACACTAAAACTGAGTTCAAAATAAAAAAAAAGTTTTAATAACATTTTTTGAAACCGTAAAAACATACTAATTATAATATGCTATAATACGAAAAAGTTTTTCTATTCGATAAGTGACGTTTTCTTTCTGCAATCACATTAAAAATCAAACGGATATAAAACGGATCGCAACAGATTTTATAAGAAAGATTATCGCGTGTACAGATTTATCATCATCCGCTTCTGGTACATTTTTATTTTCGAGATATTAAAACATGACAAAAAAAAAACGCAATAAGAACAATCGTGGCACTAGTCGGTACTCAGTGGTATATATTATACAAAAGTATAATATACATTGCAGCAGATTATAATCTGCGACGAGAGAACAACTGAAGTACAATTGTTTCCGAATTAGTTTCGAAATTCTATTATGTAATGGAATGTCTCGTGTATATAATATATATAATATGCGATGGTGTATCTCGAGTTTTCTAGAAGAATTCCCCTCCGGAATGACTTGTTACTGCGATATGGGAAAACAAAGATATATCTAATATAAAAATCGACTGACGATCATAATATGGATAACAACTACTTCAATTCGGAACAGTTGTACCGAGGTCGATATAATATTATTACATTGTGAATTTACCGACTATCAAATATAATATAATAATATATACAATTAATGTACCAGAACATAATCTGTTTTTCGTGTCGGTATTTATTACATCGATAATATGATACTTAATTTTCAAATTGTTATGTTTATCATAATATAGGTCCGTACATTATGCGTCGTATACACATTATGTTATGGGTCGTAACTCGCGTGGGGGAAAATCGTCATAAGATTTTAAGGGCAGTAAAAAATTTATAAAAACCAGCGATGAGAATTACATTTTCTGACGATTTACGTTTGATTTGCCTACATAGGTATACAATAATAATATGAAGACGTGTAAGTGCGTGTAATTGAACAGCACGTAATGGCCGTCTAGAACTCTAAAAGCGATCGATTGGTACAAGCACAATAATATTATTATTTATAATGAGCGTTCGTTTAGAGATATTCGAGCGCGGTGCATTATACGAGACTTTATCGCTCACATAAATTTTTTCTCGTTAGGTAGAGATACTTTAACACGCGTTCATAATAATATTTATATCATGTGATATTACACCGACCATAATCATGACGTATAATATTTCACCGAGTGTTTCAACTACAATTATAATTATAAATAGCGTGTTGGTATAATAATATGCAAGTATACATATTATAGTGGAATAATTGAATGGGCGGAGGGGCATGTTTGAGGGAAACTATATGGGTGAGTTGCATGGCTAAATAGAAAAATGCAGGGAATCGGTTTTTTTCTATGCTTATTCGTATAAAGATATTTATATTTTTAAATCTTTAAAAATACGATTTTCAAATCAGCATTAAATAAAATAAAATAAAATATTGTTCATAGGTATTGTTAAAATAAATTATCAATATAATCGAAGAGTTTATTAGATAATGCTAATTGCTGAACGTGGAAGAGGGGAACCCTGCTCCGTCCATTGCGATGTGTGTTGAAAAAATGTTATCTCACCAGTCACCATAAATCGAAGTTCACTGCTTCAAACTAGGTATTGTATTATACCTACATCTGCAATTTCCAATGGCTACGGCAACGTGCTTGGATACTTTATGATATAGATACACGTCAGCAGGTATAACGAAACGTTTTATAATGTGCGTATAATATAAGGTTTTAAATTTTTAATATACATAGTATTACTGCACAGTGGTCTAGGATTTTATTTATGGTGGATAATATTTTGTTAATAAATAATAATGCTCCTTAGTTACGAACAACTTCGCCTATCAACAAATTTAACCTATTCTGTGGTAATATACAATCCATCATATTAATACGTTTAGTTATACCTACGTAAAAACTTATACCTAAGTAATTTATATTTTAAAAAAGAAAACATTTCGACATGCGATCGGCGCAGGGGTATTCAGCTCCGAAGAACCCCCTCCCCCTATAAATCTGCCGCCTTTACTGCAGTGTATACGATTAACCGTCTGCTACTACAAAGTACGAATAATATATTAATATCTGCTACTATTATTCCGCTATCGCGCGTCCTTCTCCTTCTCATACCGATAATTTGAATATTTTAAATGTACCTATAGGTAATCAAACAAGGGGGAAAATGACATTTGGCGTGATGGTAAGTTGTGTTATATCAACTGAATAAAGTAAGACGTATACTTTTCCTGTAAATAATTATTGTGGTATAAAAAATATGTATAAATCTTTCACTGCTTCTAAAATATTATGCTGTATTATGAATTCACAATACTCAATCGCCACTGCAGCGTGCTTGGATTCATTATAGGTTTATACTACACACGTCACAGGTACAACGAAACGTTTTATAATGTGCTTATATGACGTTATAATATAGTATTACTGTTGCAGTGTATACGATTAACCGTCTGCTACTACAAAGTACGAATAATATTATTATGTACAGTACTCCTATTCCGCACGTCCTTCTCCTTTTCCTGCGAGCGCCGCTCCTCGCCCCCTAATCATCGCATTCAACGGAAACGATCCAATTCCTATATCATATAATCATGATGTGTACACCTATTATACTTATATACATTACATATTATAATATTATACTATACAAACGACGAGCATGTATTATCCGTCACAGAACAATGCCCACAGACACACGCTTAGCATTTGATTGCGCATAAAACCGTACATTATAATAATATTATTATTATTATTTTTATAATAATATATACTTAACGGAACAGTGACCTCGATAATTAATGAACACGATAATTGTTATGATTATCGTCCAGTTACGTTTTAATTTCAATACAAGAAAATGTTTATTTTTTTCTTCGATGTGTTCGCGACGTAACACATTTATATAATATTATATAGTAACTATAATAATATTTCATTGTTACATGAATATGCCGAGAGGTAGAGCTTATATTCTGCCCAAAATGTATAATACACCCTATAATACAGAAATACATGCGATTCCAAAATGTGCAAAAATATATAATATGATATTAAATTGTTGGTGTATAACTGTATAAGGAATATGAAAACAAAAATTCGGTGTACATATTAAAATAGGTACTTCAGATTTTATTTTCATAATAACTATTGATTTCATATTATAATATTGTTGGATGCACTTTGTAGGTGTAAATATATTTAAATAATTTAATCTAGTTTACAATATTGTATTAAAATGTGCAATCGTGTAAAATTTTTTTACAGCAAAGGAAGAGTTTCTCAGTATTTTTCTTACACCTTCAGCTGGTATACATCAGTATTATAATAGTATTTGTTAGTAGAAAATCGTTACTACATTATGTTTATTAAATAGTATTTTCTAGCTACTGCTGTTTTATTGGGAATATACCCTTGGATACCCTCGGTACCTAATCGAAGTTGTAACATGTAAGTATTCTTAGGGTTTTGAAAATATGGTCTTTAAGGGTGCTGGGGCTTAATCCATTCTAAGGAGTAAAGACTAGGCACTTTACTTTTCAGTTTATATGGCTCCTTTGAATGTGTTGAAAGTAAATGAACATTAGAGTGTGTAATTCGTAGTACCGATCAAGTTGTATAGGGGCATCATAGTGAGCAGATAACAATATGTACGTCTGTCATTTAAATACTCGCATGCACATATCACTAGATACATATTACTTTATAAAACTATAAACATTTTTTTTCAAAAAATACTGCCAGTGACTTCAATCACTACGCTCAGTAGGATGTACAGATTTAAATTAGCAGATTTGAATTCTCCTCTAAATTTACTATGCTTTAACTGTCGTACATTTTTCATATTCTATATAAATTTATTTAAATTTGAATTATGAATATGATCTATTTTTACTGTTTTTGTTAATAAAAAAAAAATAAAAATCAGAAAAATGAAATTGTCAAAGCATAAATAATTTAGTGACAAATTAAAATCTGCTTTCAAAATAATTGATACTAGACCATTATATTGGGCGTAGTGATTGAAGTCGAGATCTATGTTTGCGACCGAAAATGAATCACGCTCTAGCCCCCTTAAGTATATATTATTTACAAATTCTGTAGATCAGAATTTGAAAAATTAATTATTAAACGAAAAAAGAGTGGTGATCTTGTTTGGTTAATTATCCTGTATATTTACGCCTATACCTAAATGATTATACACCAAGTCCTCGGTGTGCGAAATAAATAGAATATTATACGTGATTGAATGTTCGTGTTAAACACGCTGTACAATACCTATGTGGCAACAGGGCAGCGTGTAGTTGATTTAATATATTATGGTAATTGGTAAATGGTACTGATCACAATATAATGACCATG